TTTTTTTTTTAACCCCAAAGACAAGGAAGAATTAGGCCCGTTTGGTACAGCGATCTTTTCTTCTTTTTCTTCTTCTTCCATCTTGTCTCAGAGGGAGAAAAATAATTCTTACTTTCTCCAAAACCAGATCTCACCGCCATTCAGTAACCCCAAGCGCCTGTTCTCCAGCCCTCGTGCTCCTGAACCTCCTTCTCCCTCCACCCTTTCTCAACCTACCTGCTTGCATTTCACCATCTTAAAACAAGCCTTCCTGCAGTCCTGGCTCCAGTCCTGGCTCCAGTCCCTCCTCAGTGGGAGCTTCGCTGTCCCCAGAGGCCTTTCTGGGGTACAGCCATGATCCCGCCCTCCCCTGCAGAAAGGCTGTAGCTGGCTCCCTCAACCTGTCCCATAAAGTCCAGACCTCTCAGAGCCCAGAGCCTCAGACTGTGGCTGCAGTTCAGATAAACAGGCTGTCTCAATCCCACCAGGAGCTTTGAGCCCAGCCTGGCCTGGCCACCCACCTACCCCAGCACTGACCCTGTGCTGGCCCTCACACTTACTCACATTCCCTCCTGCAAAGCCTGTCACAGAATTCTCACTTCCCTTCAGGGAAGTTCAGTTGTCAGTCCTTGCAGAACTTCCCCTAACTCCTGCCCCCCAGCCAACCTCCCACTTCCACCAAGGTACTCCAGGATAGAGCGCTACCATAGCATTTGTGTACGGGTGCTCCATGAGCCCAGAGCTGGAGTCTGGAGAATCTGTGTCAGCTGGGCCCGGTCAGGGTCTCTCTCCTGGGGCTGCTCCGGCCAACAACTAAGTTCCTGCAGATGCTGCTTTGGGGTTTGCAGCTCACAGCTCAGCCCCAGGCTCTGTCTCTACCCCCCTTGTGGTCAAGAGCCAAAAATGACCTCAGCTGGATCTTGGGTGAATTGTGCATCACTATGGAATGTGGATCCATGGAGCCACCTCGGCAACCCCTCAACACTGTGGGCCGAGCCTGTCACTGGGCAAAGGCATCCAGTGCCATCTTTAATGAATCCCCAAAATGTCTTTCTATCTTGGCTGCTGGGCCTGGCACGGAGCACACACACCTGTGGTTAAAGGCTGCCTGGAGCCTGAGACCCCACTGGCTCCCCACATGGCAGCTCCAGGAGAAGAGGGACACCCAGCATCTCTCTATGCCACCCACCGCCCCTGCCCTTCATTTCTTCATGTGACCAGAGTTTACTGAAGGGCCTACTATGTGTTATTCATTTGCTCACAATTTACTGAATATCTACTATGCTGGGTATTCTCCCTGCTGCTGGCATTTATAGTTAGTGGGCAGGAGCGATGTTAAACCAGTGATTTAACAAATAAATACTTTATATTACTGCATTTTTGGCTACGTGCCATGAAGGAGGGAGTGTTTGAGGTTGCCATATTCAAGAGCTGGGATACCTAGAAGAGAGTGAAGCAGGAGGAATAAGAAGCGGTGGTGGGGGGAGCCTCCCTAGTAGTGCAAGGGGTTAAATCTCAGCACTGTGAAGCTATCTGCAGCCACTGCAGCAGGGGTTCAATCCCCGGCCAGTTTGCTGACCCCCATGGTGCAGCAGACCTGCCAGCTGCTCCCCTCAGCAATTTCAGTGGATCCACCTTTTCTGCTCTCCACTTTTCTCTGGTGCATCCTCTCATCCCCTGCACCTCTGGCCTATACCCCTGCTCTTGTATGCATAAATAAATAAATCTTAAAAAAAAAAAAAAAAAGAGGCCAGCCTATCCACACTGGGCTTTGGATGCACCAATGAGGAAAAGCTCACTGGAGAAAGGCCTGAGGAAGGGAGCCACGTTTTCTGATTCCAACTTTGCGACTTTACAACATAATTC